AACTATAATAAAAATATAAAAATAGTTTAAGATAACTCGTTAATAGCATTTTTATAAATTAAATATTTTATTAAGAAAAATGTATTATAAAATTATTACGAAATAATAATTTAAATATTTGTTTTGACAAAAAGAATATTACAAAGAAAAACATTAATGCTTACAAATTAAAGTGAATTATTAAAGTAATTTAACATTTGAATTTTAATATAATATTTTAATTATTTCAATTCAACCACAATCACTCTTTTAAAACTTAAAATAAAATAATTTAAATGATATATTTATCCTTTTAATCATTCAAATAATATATATATATATATATAAATAAATTCAAGAAATTATTATTAAAAAAAATGTAAATACGTAATTGAGTGGAGCCCAAGCTTTAGCAATGTAAAATTATAATTTGCTCTCATACACAAAGTTGAAAATGAAAAAGCTACAAATTCTAACTTTTTGTGGTTGGTTTGAAACCACCGTTTCCACCTTAGTTTCTTTTTCAATTTTTACTCGTTTGACATTGATTTTGCGGTGAAAACAGACTTTTTAACTAAATGTGATTTTAGAAAGCCACACCAAACAGAGCCTTAGACAATACCTATACCAGAACTTAAATTCTCAAACAAAGCTAAGAGAAAGCTTCCTTCAATGCCATGTAGCACATCAAACATCTCTAGTACACAAAATACCAGAATTTTTCTTCCTCCGTTTAAGTATCAAAATTCTACAAGCTTTGTTGGTACTAGGATTAGATACTTTATATATTTAGTCATGTTACCATGACGTTGAGATACCTTCACTGTCATAACGGAGATGTCTTCTCTTCGACCGAATATGTTGAGTTACCTTTTATTAACCAACCAAGCGAGCTAAGATGCTTATGCTATCCAAGGGAAACAGAGATGCTCCACCCCTGGAGTCAAGACACCCCTACCCGAAAGCTTATGATTATAGAAATTACACAAGAGGATGAAGAGCTTATGTTCTAACAATAGGAGTGATTTTCATTGTGTCGTAACGAGCGTCGAGATGTCATTTTCTCTAGCGAGAGGTATTACAACACTTCGCTTCCATCAAGGCAAACATGCCTCAATCACACGTGTGGACTTTTCTTAAAGCGTGGAGATGTCTCTGCAATAGTTTTAGTGCATTGCTGCAGACTAAGTTGCCTTATCTAATTGACTGAAGGTGTCGAGATGCCTCCACATATATTCATCCTAATACCAACCGATAAGTTTGGTTGCCTCTTGTCCTAATAATAAGAAATACTTTCAATTAAAACTTTAATTTTTAATAATTTCTTAAATTTTTATTTTTTTTACTTAAAGATTAAAAAAGCCCTCAAACTTTCAATTAAAATTAATTATATCTTCAAATTCGAATAGAAAATAAATTAGACCCTTCTATCATGTCATCATTCTTACGTGGATCGCCATATTAGCATAATTGACTGCAATGTCATTACCGTTCACTGTCCTATAGCACTATATAAATAAATGTCGATCAAATGACAAAATTAATGCAATTAGAAGTATGGGAAAAACTACTAATTTGAGTTCACAATAGGGACAAAATGACCCTTAAGTATTTTTATAAAAAAAACTAATAAATTATATATATATATATATAATTCTTAAAATTGTATAAAATTCTTAAAACATTAAAACTTAATACATATTATATATATATATATATATATATATATATATATATATATATATAATTCTTAAAGTTATGCAAAATATGTTTATAATTCTTAAAATTGTATAAAATTCTAAAATATTAAAATTAATACATTTTTTTGGCCGAGGGATCAAAATAAAGGAAAAGCGAAACAAAATTGATATTTTGTATAATTTATCCAAAGTTTTTACTAGTAGTGCATTAAAGGCAAATCATTATATGAAAGCTCGAGATGACGATATTTTTTAATTTAATTTTTAGAGATTCGCAATTAATTGCCCATAATTCTGTAGAGTTGAAAAATTGAAATGCACTAGCAGATTAAACTGATGTAATAAAAGCCGTTTCATATTATTTTTTCCCCTTCCGGTTCCTAAGGTTTCGTAACTAATTCAGACTGATCCAGATTACACATTTAACATTGGTGGGTGAATCACCCAATAGAAATTTTCTGTATTCACAAAGACTCGAACTCAATACTTGCTTAAACGGAATCAAATTGTTTATCACTAAATCCAACCCGTTAGTGTTTCATATTAATTTCATAATGTTACTAATCCAACTTTTATATATAGTAAAAGACAATAATATGCAACCAAAAAAGAGAAAATAATATTAAGCAAGATATATAATTTTCGTTAACTACTTATTATACTTGATACTTATTTAATATCAAATATAGAGAGATAAAAAAATTGTATTAAATGATAATTAAATGAAAGGACCACAATGTAATTAAACTATAAGGGAGATAAAAAAACACAAAATTGTATTAAATGATTATATAATGTCAACATATATATATATATTATTATCTCCAAAATCTGCACATATTGATGTTGAGTTGACTAACCATAATGTTGCAACAAGCGTTAGAAAGGCAATGCAAACCGCGCGATTAACTGAAGGTCGATGCGGCACCATCGCTCAACTGAACCACACGCTTTTCACCGAAAAGCCTCGCGACCCAAAAGAACAAAAATTTTGTGTGACCAAAACTTACAACACAACACTCGCGCCGATTCACGTCATCCAGGGAAATATAGACACTGTTTCCAGAGTATCGTAGGTTTATTTTTTTAATAGTCCGAAATGTTTATTTTTTAATAGTCTAAAGTGATTAAATAATAATATATGTTTAAAATTCTTTTTATCAATTGACAACATATGAAATAATTGCTCAAACCCAGAATTTATATAAAAAAAAAAAATAACACGCTCGTTAACTATCGAAGTCACTCAATAGGTTAAAGTATAATATGTTTATAATAGTGTTGGAACGGGTATACATCAGGAAAAAAAAAACGCCAGTGATGGGTGCGCGCGCCAGTCCACGGGGGAGAATTCACTGAAAACCACTCTCTCGAGTTGTTGTGATAAAAAGTACTCTTCATATGTTATCGCTATGGTTTGAACATAAAGAAATGCCCAACCTCACTCGCGCTACTACAACAGTACCTGTTTATGATGGCCATCCAAATTCTATAAATAAAGTGTTTACTGCATCTTTCTAATTCAAGAAGAAGCCTTGCAGTGAAGTCTGAGATAGTTCTTTAGAAATGATAATATTCTCGAAGATGCTCAGCGAGACGGATATCTGCAGGAGATGTGCAGTTCCGATGAATTATTACAGAATGGAAGGTTTCCCAAGGCCAAGGCCAAGTTTAGAAGGCAATCCACGGGTGGATTTTTGATGTCAAAGATGAGAGCGGATGTCATTGGAGCTTTTGCTGCTCTATCCGTAATATTGGAGATGACTCGGATCAGCCAAAACATCCTAAGCCTGTTCTCATCAAAGAATGGATTTTATTTGTTCGAAGCAAGAAGCTTTGTGTAGGTGACAGAGTGATCATCTATGAAGAGCAAGATGAAACAGGTTCGATGCAGCTTAGGATTAAAGTGAAGAAACGTACCAGTCCTTATGAAGCTCGTCGGTCTCCTTTTATGGACCAAAACCTTGATGGAAACAAGGGTTCAACCAGCCACAACGGTTTCAGAGAATCAACAGCTATCTTCCATCCTTCTGAGGATCATTCTGCAGGTGTCCTAAACCATGAACTAGGTCAAACCACTGCAACTACAACGTCCAGGATCGACAAGGAGAACATAACCACCATCCATGGCACTTCCCAAGGTATAGCAGGATATACGACAAAAAGGCCTAGACTGAGTTTGAATTTAGAATTGACACTGGAACCAACTGCGACCAGGGGTTCGACTGCTGCAACTAGCTCCGGCATTGACAAGAAGCGAACACCAACTTTCCACAGCCATAGTCAAGATATATGGTGCTACAATATTGAAACACCCAGTCTAGACTTGAACTTGGGATTGACTCTGGAACCAACTTCAATGCACAAGAAAGAACCCACAACTACAGACTTCTTGAGATTTTTATAGAGCTTTAAAGCACGGTTGCAAAATAACACTAAAGAGAAGGAGAGAGACAAAACTTTAACCAGGTGAGATGAACGAGTACTTATGCAAAGTTCCCTTTTGTTCTCTTCTCCTAGGATGTAAAATACCACCTTTGCTTCTGTTCTCCGGCACTGTAAAATACTAACTTTTGTATTCCTAGAATGTAAAATACCAGTTGTGCTTGTATTCTCATACAATGTAAAATAGAGGTTTTTGAATTATCCTGGGATGTAAAATACTACTGCTTATATTCTCCCAGAACATAAGATACTACTGGTGCTATTAGTATTTATTACCACTTACCTTGAATTGCAGATATGAAGGGGCCGGGGGTTCTAAACTTGATAATTTAACTTCGGCAAGAATTAGATGGCAAGATAAAACACACAATGTAATGATTTTGGGATTTTCACCAAGTCATTTAGAAGAAAATGAAATTGACAAATAATGTTACCCACATGATCTGCAAGATGGAAGAAATACTCGCAGCACTTTATGACTATGAACGAAAGTATACTTCAGATATCGATATTACACTGGTTGGGAGAAAAGGAACGAAAAAAACGAATGATGAAAAATAAGCTGACAAGAAGAGAGACCAACGCCTACAGCTGCTCGTATAAAAAGATGAAACCTATGGAAAATGTCACATTGAACAAGGGAGAAAACAGATACAGATAAAAAAAGGTAATGCTGGCTTTGTGAAAAGAGCAGCTTCATATAGGCTAATTGCAAAATCAGTTAATAACAAACAGAACATCAAATACAACCAAATGAGAAAATTTTTCAAGAAGTTAGCTAACATTAACAATATCAAAAGCTAAAAGCTAGATAGCATGAAGAATAAAACATCCATATGAGCCAGATTTGTAATTACAAACAAAAAGAAAACACAATTGTACATAATATACCCACATAACTCTCTTCAAACTGTAAGAGCAGCAGTTTCACCCGAAAGGAATAGAGGCAATGATAGATGTAGACATAACATCAATCGAAAAGCACGAGGAAAATAATTACAGCATACGAATAAATAAGAGAAAATGCAAAACTATCTAAAGCACCGTTAAAGATCTTGTTATATTGGCTAGCAAGAGAATCTCTGAGATTAGAATAAAGGCCGAACAGTGAGTTCTGCCGAAGGTTCTCAACTTCATACCATGAGTTTAGGGCAGAAAGGTGCTTATCTGTTCCGGAAAATGCTAGCTGTATACCAATGCTGCAATCAACGGAACCTCCACGGCTTTTGCAGTTGTTTGTATTAATTCCGCAATCTTGTTTATTTAGGCACACAAAATTTGATTTCCCCGAACATTGTGCACAACCATCCCTTTTCCAAAACAAGTTTTGCAGTCTGCCTTCCTTAAACTCAAGCACCTGCATAAACAAAACCACCATCAGTTTCTGAAGACATTAACCAAGTTAAAAACCCAATAACATAGAAAAAGAAAAATGTTTCTGCTTAGCTCCTTACAAGAGTGAAGCTTGTTACAGTGTAGGTCCCGTTTGCAGCAAAAGCAGGCAGGGACCTTGCCGCATATTTTCGACCAGCAAAGGCAACCATATACCCACCGAGTCCTGAAAATTTCAAAGCTTTCAGACATTATATCATATTCAAGTGATAGAATTACAAATCCGTGACTTCCCAACTATGTTGCACCAATACGGATATGGGGACAGACGCGTGAAACAACAATTTCCAAAATTACTATAAAATCACGTATTAGACCCATATTCACTTTTCTGCTTGCATTATCTTTGTTAAAACGAACATGTCTTGAATTTTCAACGTCACATTGAGACATTTCAAGATGCGTAGAAAGTTAATTGAAAGACTTCATACGTAAGAAGACATCTCAACCCAGACGAACCCCCCAAGTTGTACCCGTCCCTAGATCAAATATGCCTGTTGTTGAATCTTACTTTTTATTTGGTTAACACTAATAGGTCAAATAAACATGGATGGATTTGTTTCATGGTACAAATGATTTGAATTATGCTAAAAGAAAGTAGATTTTCTTGATCATGCTTTCTTTCAAACCCTTTTATTTCATTTTGTCGCTCTTTTCTCTTTCTTTCTGTATTGATTTTCCAGTATTTGCCTTTTCAAAAAAAATCTGGTATTTGAATATTTTTTGTGAATTTGATATTTGCTCTGTTCATTAGTTGAGGGTTAAAGGAGTAGTTGTTGATGAAGAACAGACAGTTTCAGACCCAGAGTTGCTCACTGAGGTAATTGAAACTTTTCAAAAAACTGTTCTTTCTTTAGATGATTACCGTTCCTTAGTGGTTTTGTTTTTTAAAGAGTGATCCATGTTTCCAAGTTTCTATTTATACAGATTATGGAAATCAGGGAATCTGTAGAAGAGGCTCCAGATTCACAAGCTCTAAATCAGATTCAATCTCGGGTATGACAAAGAGTTCTCAATCTTCACACATGTCTTGTTTGAATAGAGTAGTTGCATCAGTGTTAGACAATCATGATGTTTCTCTCTAGCTATCGTTTGGCTTGTTCATTTCTAAGCCAGGCTGACCGCAGTTACCTAAATGGCAATCAGTAATAATATGTATGTTACTATGTTTGAAACTATAATGCTTTTGGATTTCTAGAGGAAGAGTGGTAATAATGGCTAGTACGACAATCTTCAATGCTTTACTTTGAACTCACTGGGTTCTTTAGGTTTCCTGCATCAGACTGCTGCTGCAACTGCCCCAAGACATGCTTAAATTCTACATGCTTTGGGTTGGAGTTCTTTTCCAATTTGAGTTGTGCTACCTGCACATAATGAAATATTTGATCCAACCTCCATTTCCTTTACCCGAGGGGTAAAAAGCAAAGTGAGCACTGCTGGCGCGCTGCATAGCTATGCCTGATTAAATGTGGGAGATCTCACTGTTTACAACCTTCATTTGCTTAAACTCTGTGTATCAAGTTAATATGTTGTTTCAAGTGCTAATTTATTGAAATTTTGTATACATTAACAATTTTTAGCAAAACTTATTAATTTCCTTTTTGGACTTTTGCAGATGAAGGAGAAATTGGAAGAAACATCTGGCTCCTTCGCAGATGCATTTCGAAGAAGGAATTTTGATGAAGCTGTGACTTGTATGCAGAGGATGACTTACTATCAGCGTGCAAGTGAAGAAATTTTAAAGAAGCTTTGATTGAGGTAATGGATTCATTTTATTCCTTGTTTTAACAATTTCCTACATGCTGGGGCTGTTGTCTACTCCCATAGTTATGTAATGTCTACTTATTTCAATGGATACATTAAAGAAATCTGTCTGCGACAAAATATCTCTCTCATCATATCTTGGATTCAATATTCCATGCTAAATGACCAAGTATTAAGGCCATACTGAGTTGTCCCTTTGGGCTTTGGTTTTAAGTCATATATATGATTGGAAATTTCGGGTCTTACCTTAGAAATTACCAAGTTCTAGGTTGTTTTGGCAACACTTCTAAGTCATTTCATATTAGTTTCAGGTTCATGCTGCTCTTGCAATGTTATTATGGGATTTGCAACCTTAAAGATTAAGGAGATGGTAACAACGGATGTGAGTAAATTTTATTTTAGTAGTGAGAACTTCAAAGCTTCCATATGCTCCATCTCCATTTTTTCTCGTTTGCTAGTTGATATTCAGCTTTGTATTGGCACACTTGATAATCGGCTACAGAATCTCATCTTTTTAAAAGATAAAAAGCATTTGGTTATTAATCCCATTGGCACCCATCATCTTGCCTTAAGTAGACTGCTTATAGAACCATATGGTGATAACTAGGTTCATCTTAAAACAAGAGTAACTGTGATAACCATTTTAGAATCAGTTTCTAGACTGCAAATTGCAAACTCTTTTAGATAAGGATAATTGCCTGGGGGCAGGCATTCCTTATCATTTGTTCAGTTTAGTTTGGTAAGAGGTCATTTACGTTTGATCTTTGATGGCTTTTTTCAGGTATGATATGATTGAACATGTGGTTGAAGGCTTCTTAATAATATGCAAGTTAAAACACACAAAGAAAACAAAATATTAAGGGTAGACCCTGTGTTGTTTAATTACTATCATATCTTTTGTTACTCTCATGGTGGATAATTCAGAGCTGGACTAGTTGATTAGGTCTTGGTATTTCTGTATTTTTTCATTTTTCATTTTAATATTTTTAAATTTCTAATTATTTAGATATTTTTATTTATATTTTTCTAATTTTTAATACCTATTATTTTAATATTTGAATTATGTAAACATAAAATAGGATAAAAGTATACAAATGGTCCCTCGATTATAAGATGTTGCTTTGTTGAGTCATTCGACTATTGAAAGTTATAACATGATCCCTCGACTATTAGATGTTGCTTTATTGAGTACCCTTAGGCCTGTAAATGAACTGAACGTTCAGTGAACCGTTCATGAACCGTGAGGCGGGAAGTTCGTTTATGTTCGTTTTTTTATTAAATGAACGAACATGAACAAGATTTTGCGTTCGTTTAATTAAATGAACGAACACGAACAAATGGCTCGTTCGTTCATTTACGTTCGTGAACGTTCGATTATATGTTCGTTCATTTATGTTCATTTATGTTCGAACAGAGGGCAAGTTGAATATGTTACGAAGATTATTGAAGTTGTTTGGATTTCAAGAAGATTGTTTTGTTGAACAAATTAACTTTAAGATTTTATGATGTTCATATAACTTATTTATGATTTATGTCTGTTTTTGTCGTATTCGAACAAATTAACTCTAAAGTTGCACGTTATATTAAAGAATTTTAAGTTGTTATTCTTGTTGTTTACTTTTTTTACATTCAATTGTTGTGTTCTAATAAGTTTGTTTTTTGTGTTTGTGTTGTTCGTTTATGTTCGTTTATTATGTTTGTTTATGTTCGTTCGTTTGTGTTCGTTTATGTTCGTTTATCATTTAAATGAACGAACATGAACTAACATTAACAAGCTATATTCCTTAATGAACGAACATGAACAAAAATATTTTTGTTCGTTTATGTTCGTGTTCGCTTATGTTCGTTTATTTATTAAATGAACTAACATGAACATACCTCCGTTCGTGTGCGTTCGGTTCGTTTACAGGCCTAAGTACCCTAATTATTAAAAGTTAGAAAATGATCACAAGACTATTCATATGTTTCAAAGTGACCATTTTTCTTTTTAAAAAAATGGTCACCAGGGTCGGTCCAATGAGTTTTAATACTCTGGGCGAGATAATAATTTTATGCCCCTATACTTGTACCGTATAATAGGCAAAACATAAATAATTTTTTAAAACAAAATTGTAATAGAAATTATAGTCAAACAATATCAATACTAATTTTTTTGGATCGGCGATCAGGTGTTTTGAGCTAATTGTTTTGGGCCAAATATATATATACACACACTATAAGCACTAGAAAACTTATGCCCCCCTCAAACATGCTGCCCTGAGCTAAGACCCATCTGGCACATGTATTGGGCCAAGCCTGTTGGCCACCATATGAGCTGAATGTTAACCTATTTTTTTGGAAGAACTGTTTAAGTTATATTTTGTGAATCGAGTCTCTGTTTACATTATGTCGTCGAGTCAATGCTTGAAACATTATGTCGTCTAGTTATTGGTTGAAAGCAACGACGGTACCAATATACTTCATTAGAATATGATTTTATCATATCTCAATTATAGGTTAATATTTAATTCAGACGACAGTCAATTTTTAAGATGAACTTAGAACATATGAATAATTGAGTTGTCATTTTGTAACTTTTAATAGTCATAGGATTCAACAAAGCAACATTTGATAGTTGAAAAATTATTTTGTAATTTTCAATACCTCAAGTACTCAATATAACATTCTATATTTAGCTTAATAATTGATATTTTCATTAATATTTTTAAAGAATATTTTTCATGGGTTCTTTTTGTGTTATATTTCAATTCATCTACATTAGTTTATTTAAAATATTAAATAATCATTTTAAAAAATTGTTAGTAGTTCAAGAAAATTATTTTATATTTAAAAATTAATTTTAAATTATAAATATAAATCAATTATCAAAGTTCTGATTAAATTTTGTATTACAAGTTAATTGAACACTAATTCAATTGGAATTTATAAAACTATATTTACTTTGAATTATAATCGATATAATTATATCGTACTTTTAAGAATTAAACACATAAGTATATAATAAGATTTATACATAATATTTTTCTGCTCTACTTATAATTATAGTTGAATAAAATTTTACATAAAATATTTGGGTAAATGCCTTTATCTAAATCTCAAATATTCGTATTATTGGGCCTTACGTGTGGCCCAATACACAAAGGATGTTTGCAAAAAAGACGAAAAGGAAAAAGAAAGGGTTGGGTGTGGAAAGATGAACCAGACGAAGCCGTCGGAGTAACCGCTCGCGGAGGTGATTGATGTTGTACCAGGAAGGTGGTGCGATCGAACTGTAAGACGGAATAAATCGAGCCTGGAAAGTTCGTAAGGAAGTGCGAGAGAACTGAAGAAGTTCTCCAAGAATGCGTTGGGAAGTAACTTATTCGAACATTTAGCCTCTCTTTTTTTCTTTTTTTTTTATTGTTGGAATTTTTTTCAATGTTAAGATCCATAATCTGTTGTAGTCATCAGAATTTGATCCCTACTTTACCTTAATTTTTTATATTGAATTTATGGCTTAATTTTAAAAACCTTTTTTTTTGGAATAGAAATAAATAAAAATCGTAATTCGCTGCGAATTTAGTTGCTTTTAGTTTAGAAATTTTGCATTCGACTAAATTGTTTGGCATCTAAAGAATTGAATAACGTGAACTTGATTTCGCAAACATTGTAGTTATTTAAGGTTGCCTTAGAGAACTTAGATTTTTATAATATACGATTTTAACCAACTTTTTTTGGATTTGCCAAAATGACCAACTAAATCGCAATGCGATCGATAATTCGCAACGCGATCTCCGGTATCGCAAATCAGTTTCCAGATTCGCAACGCGATTCTGACTATCGCATTGCGATTTTCCAAATTTGTGTTGCGATTTTCCGAATTCGCAATGCGAATATGTAAATCGCAATGCGAATATGTAAATCGCAATGCGAATATGTAATTCGCAATGCGATTATGACTATCGCAACGAGATTCTGACTATCGCAACGCGATTCTGACTGTCGCAACACTGAATTTCAAATTCGCAACAGGTTTTAGTTTCGCAACACAAATGTTTTGGGTATATAACTACGCAGCAGAAGCAACTCATAACCTAAATCCCTAAATCGCAACTCATTCAATCTCCATCTATCACTCTCTCCGGCGACATCCGTTCCTATATCCAACGACATCCTTCCCCATCCGGCAACAAGTTTTAGTTTCGCAGCTCATTTGTTTAGTAAATTAATTTACAATAATGAAATCATCTAATGTTGATCATGTTTGGATAGATTTGTGTTTTGGAGGGTCATGGGAGAATGTTCATGGTGTTTTACAATATATGTCTTTACCCGTGAATCTTCAACTAAAACTGTCATTAAAAAAGTTAACTTATGAAACTCTAATGTTACGTGTTGCAAATAAATTGAATTTAGAGCCCTTAAGTAGATTTAGGCTATCTTATCAGAGAAAAGGTAAAGTTTATTTGTTAACCGACAATGAAAATGTTGAACGATTCATTGCTTACATTAGTGTTTCGCAAGATGATGTTACATTGTATGTTGTTGAACCTATAAGTAGTGAAGTTGGGTCAGTAGCGGGTAGTAATCAACTAAGTTTTTCAACCCCAGTTTATGGTGCTCAAAATTTAATGGTTCCACCACAATTTCATCACCAAGCAAATTTTGTTTCACCACATTTCCAATACCAAACACAATATCAAAACCCACAACCTTTCCCTAATCCAAATCCCAATCAACTTTCAGCACCAAATTCCGGTTTTCATATTAACCAGTTAGACGATGATGAGCCAACAGAAAAAATTGTGAGTACTAGTCGGTATTCAAAATTTGATATTGGTCAATACCCAGACTTTGATATTGGTCAATACTCGAATTTTGATGATGTTTCAGAAGAAGAAACAGACCCTGCGTGTAATGATTTTGATATTGGTCAATACCCGAATTTTGATGATGAAACAGCCGCTACCGAGGAAGATGTTGTTGATGATAATGAGGAGGAAGTTACAACTGTAAATGAACATGTTGAACATCCATTCTGTAATTCATATAACCCTGAATAAGAAGAAGAAGAAGAAATCCCCGAAGAAAAGTCCCCGAAGAAAATGCCACGGGAGTATAACTGGAATATGCCAGAATTACTTCAGATACCGGAAGAAGAGTTGGTAAAAATAGCAGTTGATTGTTACACAAAAATTATTCGTATCAAGAAAGATGATTGTTTTGATACAAAGGAAGACTTGAAGATAGCTTTGTATACGAAATGTGTGGAAGATGGCTATCAACTAAAAGTTAACAAATCAAGCAAAGATCGTTTTGAAACAAGGTGTATGATTGACAAAAACTATACATAGCGTATGATTGCAAAGAGGATAAAAGATTGCGAAATGTTTCAAGTTAGGACTTTTATTGATAAACATACATGTTCAATAACCCAAGTTTTTCCTCACCATAGACAGGCAAACAAAAAGGTGTTGGGTGGTTTTCTGGCTGAGTTAATGTTTTTGAATGGCAGGGTATATCGGGGACATGAAATTATGACTGACATGAATGCTCGGTTCAAGATTAGTTATCTCATATTCTCAAGCTTGGAGAGCCAAATGTTATGCCTTGGAATTATTGATGGGGTCGCCAGAAGCATCGTTTGCCCAACTGCCGGCTTATTGTCACAATTTAAAGCTGAAAAATCCTGGGTCGGTAACTCATATCAAAACAGATAGAGATGGACACTTTGAGTTGCTGTTTATCGCCATTGGTGCTGCGGTTAGTAAATCAATATAATTTTGTTGACTCATTTTTGTTAGTTACATGCATTTCACATTTAAATGATTATATTTCTTGTGTATATGATTTTGTAGATTCG